CGCCCGCCGCCGCAGGCGCCGGCGCCGGCCCAGAAAAGGAAATCGTCGTCCCCGCCGCCGCCGCCAGCCGCCGCTGCCGCCAGCCGCCGCCGCCGCCAGGGGGGAAGGGGAGGGGGGGTCCAGTTCCCCCCCCCCGTCCAAGTGACCACAGACCGCGCTCTTTCATACATGCATACATACATACATAAGTTCACACACACATATATATATATATATATATATATATATATATATATATGTGATTTCACATATTTATATATATATGCATACATAAACATCTCCGCTTTGATATATACGTATATATGCTCACACATATAAGCGTACTTACACACATACGCACACATATACATACACATACGCTTGTGTGTGTGTGTGTGTGTGTGTGTGTTTGTGCGTGCCTCTGAGCAGGCCAGGGGCGGGCCCAGAACTATGGCCACGGGTTGGCATGTGGGGGGGGAACCCCAGGGGCGCCCTTTTGGTTCCCAAAGTGGCCCGGTGGGCGCCCCGATGGCTCCAAAACTGTTGTTCAAGTTTCATGGGCCGGTCCAGCGCAGCCCGACCGAGACCGCCGCGCATGGCTTTTGGGCGGCCTCCGAAGGCTTCCAGGCTGCGCCAGGACGGCCCTGGGCAGGCTTCAGTGGGCGCCCGAGGCCCTAGACGAGTGCCCCGAGAGGCGCGAATTTTTGATTCCTTCATGGTTTTTCAATGTTTTCGGGGTCCTTATAGCTTCCGTCAATCTACGACGGCCGAGGCTTCCAACGCCGCTTCAGGACGGGCCAAAAGGCCCCCAGAGGGGGCCCTTGGACGGCTTAGAAGGGCTCCGTGACGCCCTCAGGGGCGCCCAAGACGGCCCAAGAGGCCCCAAAGACGGCCCCAAGATGGGTTTCCAGAGGGGGAGCATGAACCGAAGTCTCGAGTCTTTGGAGGCCCCAAGAAGGCGCCAGCACGGCCCCAGTGAGCGCCCGAGGATCCTGCCGAGTGCCCCGAGAGGCTAACATCTTCGATACCCCAATGCTTTTAACATGTTTTGGGGGCCCTCTACATTTTAAGTTTCTGACAATCCACGACGGCCCAAGAGACATCCATCATCGCCTCAGGACGGGGCAAGAGGCCTCCAGGAGGACCCTGGGACGGCCTAGCGGGACTCCATGACGCCCCCGGGGGCGCCCAAGACGGCCAAGAGGCCCTAAAGACGGCTTCGACATGTGCTCAAGTAAGGGGAAACTAACAAACATGTCGAGTTCTTCGCGCCAAAGGCTCCCAAGAGGCCCCAAGAAGGTGCCAGGACGGTCCCAGGAGGTCCAGACGAGTGCTTCGAGAGGTACAAATCTTTGATGCCCCTACTTTTTTTCTATGCTGTCGGGACCTTCCACTTTTCGAGCTTCCGATCATCCGCGACGGCCCCAGAGGCTTCCAACACCACCCCAGGACGGGGCAAGAGGCTTCCAGGAGGGCCCTGGGACTGCCTGACAGGGCTCCATGACGGCCCCATGGCGCGCCCAACGCGGTTCCAGAAACCCCAGAGGCGGCCCCAAGATGGGCTTCCAGAGGGGGAGCGCGAACCGAAATTTTCAAGTTTTTCGCCCCAAGAGGCTCACAGAACCCCCGAAAAAGGTCCCCATGGGCCACGAGGCTCCAAAAGGACCCCAAGAGGCCAAAGACTGGCCCCCAAGAGGCCCCCGCGAGGCCTCCTTCGACATCCCTCCTAACATTCTCATTGCTTTTGACTCGCTACCCAGGCACGGTGGCGAGGGGGGTCGAAGGCCATTCCAGTCACGTTCGCACACCCATTGCGCGCTTCTTCTCATATTTCTTGCCGTGGTCTTCCCCTCATCCACATTTTCAGGTTGTTACCTTACACCTCTCCCAGCTCACTTCCAAGCTTCACCACCATCTCATCTCAACATTTTGAATGTTCTATGTGGTTGTCCTCTGGGTATTGCAGCCTCATATGGGGTACCCAAAAACTTCCACGAGGACCCCAGCGCGGCCCACGCCATCATGTTCTCAGAGAGCCTTCCGGGAACATGTTCGTCGCCGCCAGCCCGACGAGGAAACCGAAGATGAGGAGGAGGGTCCGCGCCACCCCACTTGACCTTCCAATTCAGCGTGGCGTTGCCCGGGACCCGCTCACACCGGAACCCGGGTCGGGCCCGCGGCCCTGCTCCGAGTGGACTCGGTGTCGAGGGTTCTGCTTGCAACCGCCGCTCTCCTCTGCGAGGCCTCCGAAGAGGTCCCCAGAGGTTCCCGCAAATCATGCGCAGAAGGAAGGAAGGGAGGAGGAAGAGGACAAGGAGGAGGGGGAGGAGGAGAGGGGGCGAAGAGGAGGAGGAGGATGAAAAGGGTCAAGAGGAGGAAAAGGAGGTGAATGAGGGGGTCTGATGATGATGTTGATGATGATGATGCCGATGCTGCTTCTGCTGATGATGATTATGATGAGGCGGATGATTGTGATGTTGATAGTATTGCTGGTGATGCCGATGGTATTGCTGGTGATGATGGCGATGATGCTGCTGCTGATGATGATGATGACGATGATAATGACGATGCTGTTTATTATTATGATGGTGATGATGAGGAGGAGAAGGGGCGAACATTAGGACGACGAGTAGGAGGATGAGGAGGAGGAATAATACAAAGAAGACGAGACGAATGCCGATAAGACGAATAACAATAGGAATACTCATGATAATAGGAATACGAATGTCAGCAGTTCTACTAATATTAAGAGTAAGAAGAAGACGAATCATAATGAACATGCGAATGCGACTTATAAAAATAGTAATTAGGAGAAGAAAAAGAACCATACGATCACTCACGGTGATAATAGTCGAACTCATAATTATACAAAGAAATTCAGAGGAATAGTAGTAATACAAGGAATGCTAGTACTAAACTTAACACTGATAGTAATACTAATAATATAAATTCAAATAATGCTAGTAATACGAATGAGACGAACAAGAAGATGTGTAGAGGAAAACTGATGATACGAATAAGAAGAAGAGGAGGATGAGGATGATGATGATGATGATGATGATGATGATGATGATGATGATGATGATGATGAGGAGGAGGAGGAGGAGGAGGAGGAGGAGGAGGAGGAGGAGGAGGAGGAGATAGAGGAAGAGCATTAAAACTGGGCCCGGACACCCTCCTGGATTCCCACCCTATTGGCCGACGACATTTTTGACCCCTTCTGGAGCCTCCCTGGCCTCCCCCCCGCCGCTCAAACACTTCGGGATGCTGCAGAAAAAACGACCAGAGTGACCTGACAGGGCCGACGACGTCCGAAGATGACGGTTCAAGAGGCCCCGAAACCATGCCAAGAAAGCTCCAAGATGCGCCCCGAGAGGGCCCCAGGAGTCCAAAGTGTTTCGTCCCATACGCAAGCAGTTTGTTTGGCGACGGACCGTCCTTGTGCAATCAGGGCAGGCGCGCCGGACCTTCGCAGATCTACGGGCGTTCGACATCTTGCTGGTGCAGGCCCGATGGGGAGGAACCAATCAGGGGGCAGCTCAGTTCGAAGGAGGAGGTCCCGGCGCCAGCGGGCGTCTGCCGCCTGCAGGCGTCCGAGGCACGCGGCCTGCGTGCCCTTCGCTCCCGCCGCTCGCGGGGGCCTCGTGCGCGCGGGGGGCAGGCCGCGCGTGGGCTCGCCGTGGCGGCAGCGGCGTCTGGCCCCTGCTGCTCGCCAGGTTCGTCCCCGGGGGCCTGCTCCGCGCCCCGCCAGAGGCCGTCCAGGGGTTCACGATGTTCCAGCCTGCTCGAGCCTTGATCGCCTCGCAGAATTTCGAGCACCAAGGAGGTACCGAAACCCGAGGGTCTTGACGTGTCGGGCCACGGGAGACGATGCTCGTGAGACACCGTTTCGGTACTCTTCGGGCTGCTCGAGATTGCTTCTGGGGTGTGGTCTCGAGTACGATGGGAGCAGCTTAATCCATGGGCATCCTCATGGAGGGATCGCGCAGAGGCCAGGCTGCGCGTGGGCTCGTGGGCGGCAGTGGCGTCTGGCCCTGCTGCTCGGCAGGTTCGTCCCTGGGGATTTTCCCGCGCACCGCCCGTGGCTGTCCAGGAGCACCCTCTGTGGAGGGATCGCAGCAGGATGCCTGAAGCTCCGCCTCTGGCTGTCAGTTTCGTCTTCGACCTCTCCATCACGCTCGTGCAGTCGTCGGGCTGAGACTGACCAGCCATGGCTAGTTACTAGTTCGTCCATGAGTTTTTTTTGTACCAGCTTTTGCGAGCAAGGGTGTCTGCGTTTCGGTCGTTTCGGCTGCGTCGCAGTCGATGGCGTTCCGTCGGTTCGGTTCGGTCTTTTGCATCTTTGCCGCATCGTTGCGCATCGTTGCTTTTGTCTCGGCTGCTTCAGGTCGACTCGTTCCGGTCGTTTTCGGCCTCGCTGTCAGTCTAGCCAGCTGTTCGGTTGTGCCGTCGCCGTGGGCAGCCTTGACGAGGGAAGGGGAAAGTTACCCTCCTCCACCTCTTCCCCAGAAAAACCCTTCCGAGCAGGGAGAGGCCCCTCACAGGCCACACCCGAGATGAAAGGACGCGCCCCTGTCGACGTGGGGGCCCTCCAGGAAGACGTTCAGAGACCTGCCCAAGTTCCCCCTCCTGCAGTCGGCGTCACGCCGACATACTGATGCTAAGTGCGCGTCGCCCCCCCCAGGGTCGACGCGCGCGTCGAGAAATCTCGAAACATGAGCCCCGCGGCGGGCGCTCTCTGGCCACACCGCGCGGGCTACGATCTGCTGCGCGACGTGCCCGGTCTCACTCGGCTCGGACGGGCGCACCCGGCAGAGGCGCACCGCGGTGTGCCCCTCCTGCTCCTCCCGCAGGCCCGCCACCGCCTCGTGCGCATGGTGGAGATGCAGCCCCGCAGGCTGACGCAGGACCGGCTGGAAGAGGAGCCGCTGCCCGGGGCACGCGGGGCGGGAGCGGCGGGCCCCCCCCCCCCCTCGGGACGACCGACATGGGTACGGAAAGAATGGGTACGATGCTCAACAGCAGCTCCTGTTCATCTTGACCAGGACTCGCTGTCCGCGCCGCCGCGGCCTCCATTCGAGGCAGAAGGCCGCCTGCCCAACAGCGGCCGCTGTGGGTTTGGGACAACATTTGCTGTTGGGCATGGTACCCATTCTTTCCGTACCCATTTCGGGCGTCCAAACCCCCCTTTTGCGCGGGGCGCGGCCGGCGGCGGGCACCCGGGCGCGGCGGCTTCTGCCTCTCTCCCTTTTCCTCTTCCCTCCCCCCCCCCTTGCTGGCTCCCCCCTGGTGCCTTCCCCCCGCTCCATGCCTGTCCTCCTCCGGCTCCTCGTCCCCTTTCCCCCACTCCCCTCTTCCTCTCTCTCTCTCCCTCCCTCCTCGTTCCCTCCCCCTATGACGCCTCCCCTTCCTCCTCCTCCTTTTACCCGCCAGAATCCCTTCTGAACCCCTGGCCCCGAGCAGCCCCGCCAAGCCTCTCTGACCACAACGACACAGAGCGACACCCCCACCTGAGCCCACGCACTCGGGCTCATCGCCCTCAGCGTCAGCCCCGCAAGAGCGGGGGGTACCGCACATCGCCTACACCATCGGCAGGTTCGGCTGCCCCGCCGCGGACCTTGTCCACTTCCCGCCGCATCGCTCGATCGAGGACAAGCACACATGGCTGGCAACCGCTACCAGCGCCCCGCAGCGGGTGCCGGCACCATGCCGCAGGATGATCGCTGATGGCAGCACCCCGACAACAGTCAACGACATCGACGACACAAGCCACCCACCGCTGACAGCCGCAGACGTGACCTACCTCGGGGAAGAGGCTACGATCCAGGCCACAGACGACGCCAACACCATGGACGTAGCCAGCCCGAGCGGAGCAGAGATATCCCGGGAGCCGTGGCCATCATTCCCACACGCATGCCAGCTCGACCAATCGACCAGCCTGGTGAATCAGGATGGTCCCCCCTGATCACCCACAACCGAAGAGGCACATGCCTTGAAATGGGACTGGCCGAACGGCGGCTCATGAGTGCGTCGCCCACCTCCTACACTCTGACCAGTTTTGCTCGACGAGACTGACAGCAGACGCCACCAGCGGCCAGCTGCTCCTTTCCACATTCATTTCTTCGACCAAACAGTCGGACTCACTGGGCACCCGCCAGGATCAACAGTTGGTTCGCAACGACTGCCTATTCTCTGCGACTCCCACTTCGCTACTCCCTGGCGACGGCATCCTCCCTCCTCTGCGAGCACCCTCGTGGCCATCACACAGCACAGCACTTACGGCGAGCACAACTACGGCAGGCTATGCTATGTAATGGGTCCACGGTAATAAAGGGGTTCCCCAACCCGCCGTGGCCTTCTCACCCACGCATGCTACCCTACCGACGTGCCGCGAGTCACCACCCACCAAACCACTCCAACCCAACCCGAAGGCTCAAATTGACCCTCGATTTCCAGTGGGGGGGTCGGGAAACATGAACAAAAACACGTGGAACCCTTACCCTCCCCAACCCGAAATTCGGGTCTTCGGGTTGGGTTGGGGTGGTCTGGCAGGTCGTCAGCGAGAGCGCAGGCTGCACCAGACCAGTGGACAGAGCTCTCCCGTGCGCCTCCTCGGTGGGGGCCTCGATCACCGGCTGCGAGCTGTGGGGCCTCGAGGGCTGCAGCGCGAGGAGCCTCCTTCCCACTGGTCTCGCGAGGGCCTTGCCCAACCTTCACTCCCTTCTGACTCAGATCCTTGCAGCCCATGCTCGGAAACTGGAGCATAGACATTACCAGTTCACCACCCACCAAACCACCCCAACCCAACCCGAAGGCCCCAATTTATCCTCGATTTCCAGTGGGGGGGGGGTCGTGGAACATCGAGAAAACACATATGGAACCCGTACCCCCCCCAACCCGAAATTCGGGTCTTCGGGTTGGGTTGGGGTGGTCTGGTAGGTAGTCACCAGTGGCGGGCTGTTGTTCAATCCCAGGAAGTTTGAGGGTCGGGGACGGCGTCGGGGTGGTTTGGTGTATACTTGTTTTCCCGTATTCCCGTGGAAACAGCAAAACATGTATACACCAGGATGCCGTATACACCATAATCCGTTTCCTTGTGCGAATCTCACTGCGGGACCGGAAAAACAGCATAGGAGTATAATGTTCGGTTCCACCTGCTCCCCCCACCCTCCACCCTCCTAACCTCAGTATCGTTCAACCGATCCCCATCCCCATCCCCATCCCCTTCGAGACCCCCACGAAATTCCCCCCCCCCACTGGGGATACACCCCTTGAGACCCGAAGGGCACGACCTATGTCCCCCCTCTAGGGGGGTACATCGGCCAGTGGGGCCCAGGCCACGCCGCTGGGGATGGGGATCGGTTCAACGATACTCACAGCCCACTCTCTCCCCCTCGCGTGGCGGTGGAGCCGGTGGGGCCCGTCGGGGGGGGGGCAGGGGCAAACATGCTGACGGCTGCCCCCCGGCGTTGGCCAGGGCGGCCGCCGAGCGCGCGCCACGCAGCGCCGGCGCGCCTGCTCACGCTCTGCGGCGAACCTCCATCAGGAGGAGAAAAAACACACAGACACAATTCATCGTCGATTCCCCAGAACATATGGGAACATATGGGAAGTGGGGGGAAGACAGAAACCCACAAGATATGGGAAAATATGGGGAACCCTTTTATTGTCTCCTACTCTCGCCCCCTTTCGCACGCCCTCACGTCCGGCCTCGCGCGCAAGCTTGCCCGCGTAGTAGACCTCCCTTTCGCCGCCCGCGGCCCTCTTACACAACGCCTGCGCTCGCCCGCACGCCCGCGCTTCTGCCACGCGGGGGGGGGGTGGGGGGGGTGGGGGGCCGCGCAGTGGGGGGGCATCCTGGAGGGGAAGCGCGCGCCCTGTGACCACCGCCGCAGGACTCCGCAGACCTCCCCCTCTTTGAATGAAGTCGAGCGCGTCCCTCTACAGGAGGAATATTCAAGAATCGTCCAACAATAGTCCGGGGACAATTTCTTTAAACATATTTTTGACCATTTCGGAGTATTTTTTAGTATTTTGAATTTTTCGTCCACCTGTAGGGGGACGTGCCCGACCTGACCTTGGAAAAGGGGGGGAGGAGGGGGGGGGTAGCTCCCGTAGCGCGAAGAGGGGTTGAAGCCTCCGAGGGGCGGAGAATTCCTCCTCCTCCTCCTCCTCTTCCCGGTGCTCGAAATTATTTCAGGGATGTGGTCCTTAAGTACGATGGGAGGAACATGAATCTACTCCTGAGGTTTGCCACGCGAGATGCGTGGAGCGATCTGGAGCAAGATTTCTGTCAGGCACTTTACATCTGTAGTGGGTGCTTCGGCCCCAACCCGCGGCACCTGCAGGGTGCGCAGTGCGGGTCGCAGTCGCAGTCGCAGTCGCAGCTGCAGGGGAGAGGCCCCTGGGCCATGCCGTTTTGGCGAAAGATGGCCACAGCCTTTACAAGTCGGGCCTGTCCCTCCACAGGAGGAATATCCAAACATAACCTAGGAATAGCCTGGGAACAACTTTTTGATTATGCTTCGAGCCTGAGCATTTTTTGAATATTTTTTACCTGTCGCCCAAAATCCCCGTCTGGTCTTGGGATGATCTTGGGGACCTCCTGGGCAGTATTGGACGCCGTGAGGGCCGAAAAGCCGCATGAGGCGTCCTGGGGTATCTTGGAGGCCTTGTGGGCCGTCAGGAAGCCATCTGGAGCGTCTTGGACCGATCGCTCGGCGATTCAGGGCTCCCTTGGACAGTGTGGACTCTTGGGGCACTATGTGGCCGTCTTGGGTCCTCCAGGGCGCTCCGGAGACAGCCGCCCGCGCCGGGCCCTCAGTCAAACCCGCCCAGATTTCGATGTATAAAGGTAGGAGCACAGCTACACGCATGTATGTTCAAGTTGTACCGCGCGGCAGCGCGCCGGAACACCCGCTGGGCAGCGGCAGCACCCGAGAGGACCCGCGGGGCAGCCCCGGGGGCAGCGCGCGGGAGCTCCCCTGGGAGGCTCGCGGGGCAGGCGTGGAGCAGCCCGTGGGATCGGCCGCGCGGCAGCCGCGGGGGACGTCCGCGGGGCAAGCCTGCGGGGCAGCCCCCGGGACATCCACGGGGTTATCCAAGAGGCAAGCCGCGGGGCAGCCCACGGGGCAACCGTGGGACAATCGCGAGGCAGCCTGTGGGACGGACCCACGGGGCGATCGCCCGAGAAGCTGCGGGACACTCTGCGGGACAGCCGCGGGGCAGCCCGCGAGACGAGCCGACCCGCTGGACAACCCACGGGGCAACCGCAGGGCAACCGCGGGGCCTCCGCGGCGTATCCCCGGGACGACCCACGGGACCATCCGCGTGACAACCCGCAGGATAACCCACGGGACAGCCACTGACCACGCAGGGGGCAACCCATCGGACATCCCGCGGGAGGGTCCACGGAGCAACCAGGGGACAAGCAAGGGACAACCACAGGGGCAACCGCGGGACAGCTTCGCGACAGCCCGCGGGGCAATCGAAGGACAACGGCGGGGCGGCCCGCGGGACAGCCCCGCGCCCCACCGCGAGTCACGGGAGAGCGAAACATTCTGCCAGAGTTGGCCCCGACCTCGGCCGATTCATCGTCGCCCTCACGCACCCTGCCTGCGCGCGCAGCACGAAGCGACCGACACCGAAACCTATCTTTCGGTTGGCCCCCCCGCCCCCACCCCAAACTTCGACAATACTTTCGATATTGCTATCTGTCGAGCAGTTTAGGTGTGTTATGCGTGAGAGTCATTTTGAGCATGAGTTGTTGTCTTCCCCAGATATTATCGTTCATTACTGGTTGTTGATGGTCGCTAGTAGTCGGTGATAGACACTACTAGGCACCGATAGGGGATAATAGGCGCTAAGAGGGACATTGATCGACACTAGTAGGGTCTACTATTGCAGAACCTGTTTTTTCTTTTCAGAAAGCCACTCACACATCGTAGACATGAAGTAGTTCTGTTTTTGGAACTTTGCGTCAAGGGCCCGAGCACTCCCCCGAGCGGCAAATATATCCATGCCCATGCTCCCGCGGTCTGGAGTCCAGGGCGCGATTCTGCACATGCGAACCCTACCCCTACCCCCCACGATTTCTGAAGGGGGGGGGGTAGGGGTAGGGATCGCATGTGGCCCCCCACTGGAC